ACTGTCAAACATATAAAAAATTTTTGGGTGACCTCAACCAGCACCTTACACAGAGGGACTTTGATGACCTTGCAGTGTTTGACATGAGAAACTTTGTTGATTTCCCTACTCACATCTCTGGCTCCTCCCTTGACCCAGTAGTGAGTGATCTGGCAGAAGGCATAGTCACTTGTCAACCCCTCGGCTATGTTGGATCGTCTGACCACAAGGCTGTTTAAATTACAACTCTTAAGATCCCAACAGAACGAGGTGAGGAGTCCACACGCACAACCTGGCTATGGGAAAGAGGTAATTGGCCAGCCCTTTGCTCTGAGCTCGCCACCACCGACTGGAATGCTCTTCTCCAAGTGAAAGGTTTCACTGGACACATCCTTAATCTACAACAAGAACACATTCCTCACCGGCAATATGTGGCGAAGCCTACAGATCAGCCTTGGTTTGGCTTTCGTAGTAGAGAGGCTGCTACTGCTAAGTACAAAGCATGGCGAAGGTATAAGAGACATCCTACCACCTATAACAGGAACTTGCACACGCAAGCCTGTAGGCATATGGGTGACGTTCAAAAGTGGGCCATTGCTAAATGGGAGGTGGACACTAAAAGAAAGCTAGCATCAGGTAGGGTAGACTCCAAAACCTGGTGGTCCCTGGTCAAGGACAGACAAGGTTATCTGCCTGATGAACTCATTCCACCTCTAAATCAACAGGATGGGACCACCTCTACTAGTAGTCAAGAGAAGGTGGACCTCTTTGCTGAACACTTTGCTACCAAAATGCAAGTTCCTGATCCAGCAAGGGACCCTCCTTGGCTAGCTGCAAGAACTGTGTCAAAACTGTCAGTGGTGACAATAAGGCAGGAGGAGGTGCATTTCCTTCTTAAATCGCTTGACCAAGAAAAGGCTGTGGGCCCAGACAAGTTGAGCCCAAGATTGCTGAGAAGATGTGCAGACCAGCTAGCAGCACCTCTAACTCGCATCTTTCAGCACTGCCTAGTACAGTGTAAATGGCCCTGTCCATGGAAAGAGGCAAATGTAGTCCCTGTTCACAAAAAGTAGAGCAAAGCAGAAATCAGCAACTACAGACCAGTGTCACTTCTGTCAATCACTGGTAAGATCCTTGAGACAATAATCTCAAGACAAATGACAGAGTTTTTTTGACTATCACTCACTACTTTGTGATCGTCAATATGGCTTCAGGAAAGGTTACTCTGCTGCTGATCTGTTGTTAAACCTCTCCACTAAGCGGCACCAGTCACTGGATGAATCCAAAGTCAGCTGTGTGGTAGCACTGGACATTGCTGGTGCTTTCGACCGGGTGTGGCACCAGGGCCTCTTAGCAAAACTTCAAGCACTGGGAATTGCAGGCTCTACGCTATGTCTCCTAAGTGATTACCTTCATGGTAGATCTCTAAGTGTAGTTCTCAATGGAACGGAATCAGCAAGACATCCTATTGGGGCAAGTGTTCCACAAGGAAGAGTGCTGGGACCACTGTTATGGAATGTCTACTTCAACGACATTCTTCATCTCATCCCAGAATCACATGTATATGCAGACGACTGTACACTGACATTAACTTATCCAAGAGAAGAAATGCCAGCTGCTCTAAGCTACATCAATCACCAGCTGAGAGCTATATCAGCTTGGGGAAATAGATGGCAAGTAACATTTGCACCTGAGAAAACGCAAATGATGATCGTCTCTAGGCACCATGATGGTAATGCTGGTGCAGTAGTAAGGATGAATGGGAGGGTGTTGGCACCTGGAGAAGAAGTTGATATCCTTGGGGTGAAATTTAACTCCAAACTAACCATGAAGAACCATGTTGTAAATCTTGCAAACAAGGCAGCCAGGAAGCTTACAGCACTTCGCCGTATCTCGCATCTGCTTGACAGTAGGGGTTGCAAGATTCTGTACGAGGCATAAGTACGCTCACACCTTGAGTATGCTCCACTTTCTTGGTTTGCCTGCCCCCCCCCTCTCATCTGCGACTGCTTGACAGTAGAGAACAGAGCAAGACGTCTCATCTCTCGCCTGGACCCATCCTGGATAGATCTGTCATTTCAGCAGAACCTTCAACACAGGAGGGATGTGGGTGGCCTTACTGTTATGTACAAGGCCAATATTGTCAAAGTACCACACTTGGATCCACTTCGAGGACAGCGTGAAACAAGCTTTTATGCCACAAGACGGGCAGAAAGCAGCAACTTCACTCTGGCTGTACCCTTCTCCAGAACATCACTCCATCTGAGATCCTATATACCCAGGATGACTCGAGTATGGAACACATTCGTACAGCATAATGATGTCAACGAGATAAAGTCAGCTGATCAAATGAAAATGCTGGCCCACAGGTGGCTCCAACTTCATCCTGTTCCCTATTTGTATGTCTCATAACAATAAAAATGCTTTCAAATGAGCTGATGTAGGTAACAGCTCTTAGCTTGCCAATAAAGTTAGGAATCCTTAACCTGTAAATAGCTTGTCAATAAAGCTTGGGATCCTTAACCTTGTCAAACCCTGCAAATAGGTTGTCAATAAAGCTAGGGATCCTTAACCATGTCAAACCCTGTGTAAAAAAAAAAAAAAAAAAAAAAAAAAAAAAAAAAAAAAAGATTCCCCTTCTAAACACTAACCCCAACTCCCTATCTTCCAGATGCCATCACCAATCTTCAAAAAAGGTAAATTAAATTTATTATTAATTGTACTATGTACATACATGTATATGTATGTATGTTCTGTGTATGTAAAACAATAATGTAATCTCTATAAAATGTATTATTTTGTGAATACTTTTGGGTTTCTGGAACGGATTAATTGTATTTCCATTATTTCTTAAGAGAAATACTGGTTCGACTTTTGAACGTTTTGACTTCAGAACTAGCTCCTGGAACGGATTAAGTTCTAAACTCAAGGGTCCACTGTAATCCTAAACTGATTTGTGAGCAGGGATCTTTTGCTGGTTAGGGCAAAGAATTCCAGATCTTCGGGTCCATTATGTGCATTGCATTTTTGTATGGTGTGGAACGGACACGAAAGATGTCAAAAACTGGTTTGTGCCTCGTGTTTTGCCTGTGTGTTCTGTTGTAGCTGTCTAGAAGTTTGAGCGGAGGGATTATATTGGAAGTTTAATGTTCTGTATATATAGTAGGCACAATAATAAGTGTGTATATTAAGTAAGTTCAAGCTCTTGAAGAGTGGTGGGGTGTGTTCTCTGTCACAGGAGTTTGTGATCATCTGCACAGTAGCTTTTTGTTGGGTAATTAAAGCTTTAAGGTGATTGGCCATGGTAGATCCCCAAGAACAAATACCATAGGTGAACTGGGACAGCAGGTGGAAGTAAGACAAGACAGTCCTCAATGATGCTCTGAATTTCTTTGTTATCCTGGGTGGCTAACTTTCCTATCCTGGGTGGCTAACCCTCCCTATCCTGGGTGGCTGACCTTCCCTATCCTGGGTTATCCTGGGTGGCTGGCCTTCCCTATCCTGGGTTATCCTGGGTGGCTGACCTTCCCTATCCTGGGTTATCCTGGGTGGCTGACCTTCCCTATCCTGGGTTATCCTTGGTGGCTGACCCTCCCTATCCTGGGTTATCCTGGGTAGCTGACCCTCCCTATCCTAGGTTATCCTGGGTGGCTAACCCACCCTATCCTGGGTTATCCTGGATGGCTAACCCTCCCTATCCTGGGTTATCCTGGATGGCTAACCCTTCCTATCCTGGGTGGCTAACATTCACTATCCCAGGTTATCCTGGGTGGCTGACCTTCCCTATCCCAGGTTATCTTGGGTAGCTGACCTTCCATATCCCGGGTTATCCTGGGTGGCTGACCTTCCCTATCCCAGGTTATCTTGGGTGGCTGACCTTCCCTATCCCAGGTTATCCAGGGTGGCTGACCTTCCCTATCCCAGGTTATCTTGGGTAGCTGACCTTCCCTATCCTGGGTTATCCTGGGTGGCTGACCTTCCCTATCAGGGTTTAACCTGGGGGCTGACCTTCCCTTCCCAGGATTATCCTGGGTGGCTGACCTTCCCTATCCTGGGTTATCCTGGGTGGCTGACCTTCCCTATCCTGGGTTATCCTGGGTAGCTGACCTTCCCTATCCCAGGTTATCCTGGGTGGCTGACCTTCCCTATCCTGGGTTATCCTGGGTGGCTGACCTTCCCTATCCTGGGTTATCCTGGGTGGCTGACCCTCCCTATCCCAGGTTATCCTGGGTAGCTGACCTTCCCTATCCTGGGTTATCCTGGGTGGCTGACCTTCCCTATCCTGGGTTATCCTGGGTGGCTGACTTCCCTATCCCAGGTTATCCTGGGTGGCTGACCTTCCCATATGGGTTATCTGGGTGGACTAACCTTCCCTATCCTGGGGTTTATTCGGGTAGCTGACCCTCCCTATCCCAGGTTATCCTGGGTGGCTGACCTTCCCTATCCTGGGGTTATCCTTGGGTGGCTGACCTTCCCTATCCTGGGTTATCCTGGGTGGCTGACCCTCCCTATCCCGGGTTATCCTGGGAGGCTTACCCTCCCTATCCCGGGTTATCCTGGGTAACTAATGCTCCCTATCCCGGGTTAAAAATCCCAACAAATCTTATTCTATCTTAAAATATGCCTGTTTAAGTGAGACACTAATAACACAAAACCCCTCACTCTGATCGTTGTAAAAAAAAGCAGACCACGGGCGGGGATAAAACCCGCTATCTATCCCCGCCCGTGGTATGGTTGTTTGCAATCATGTCATTACGACTTTGTGAGTCCTGTACCTAAACTTACATTAAGTTCCACGTTTCTTTATCTTCATTTACCAGGTATTAACTGCCTAGTATAAACTAATACACCCGGGAATAAAATTATTTACCCAATAATTAAAATAATGCTTTAACTATTATAATTCATTTGAGCTCTAAGCCCGTATGTGTCATACAAAAGATTTGTAAAGATAACCCGAATAAAGAGGTTATTTACGTAGTGGTTAGAGTGAAGAGAACAATTTAGAGCATCCCACCTACCAGCTTCAAAGTCTGTCATTGTTATCTTGTTTTGAGTGTATGTTAATATATGTTCACTGATGACTGACATCTTATCTTCTCTGCTTGATGCATCTTCAACTCTTCTGGCTAGTTCCATGCACACTAGCGTTAATTCACTAATATTTCTCGCCGGTTCCTCCAGACTTTTCGTTTCTTCCTCCATCTTTCTTTGTTGTTGTGTTTATAGAGCGACTGACAGTGTAGGCCGTATTGAGCCCTACCGTCCAGCGCTCGGTAATGGAACCTACCATCCAGCGCTCGGTATGGAACCTTTACATCCAGCGCTCAGGTTAATGGAACCTACCGGTTCAGCGCCTCGGTAATGGAACCTACCATCCAGCGCTCGGTAATGGAACCTACCATCCAGCGCTCGGTAATGGAACCTACCGTCCAGCGCTCGGTAATGGAACCTACCGTCCAGCGCTCGGTAATGGAACCTACCATCCAGCGCTCGGTAATGGAACCTACCGTCCAGCGCTCGGTAATGGAACCTACCGTCCAGCGCTCGGTAATGGAACCTACCGTCCAGCGCTCGGTAATGGAACCTACCGTCCAGCGCTAGGTAATGGAAACCTACCGTCCAGCGCTCGGTTATTGGAACCTACCATCCAGCGTCTCGGTTAATGGAACCTACCATCCAGCGCTCGGTAATGGAAGCCTACCGGTCCAGCGCTCGTAATGGAACTACCGTCCAGCGCTCGGTAATGGAAACCTACCATACCAGCGCTCTGGTAATGGAACCTACCGTCCAGCGCTCGGTAATGGAACCTACCGTCCAGCGCTCGGTAATGGAACCTACCGTCCAGCGCTCGGTAATGGAACCTACCGTCCAGCGCTCGGTAATGGAAGCTACGTCCAGCGCTCGGTAATGGGAAGCTTCCGTCCAGACGCTCGGTAATGGAACCTACCGTCCAGCGCTCGGTAATGGAACCTACCGTCCAGCGCTCGGTAATGGAACCTACCGTCCAGCGCTCGGTAATGGAACCTACCGTCCAGCACTCGGTAATGGAACCTACCGTCCAGCGCTCGGTAATGGAACCTACCGTCCAGCGCTCGTATGGGAACTACCATACAGCATCGGTAATGGAACCTACCATCCGCGCTCGGTATCGAGAACCTACCGTCAAGCGCCGGTAATGGAAACCCTAACGTCCAGCGCTCGGTAATGGAACCTACCGTCCAGTGCTCGATAATGGAACCTTTACCATCCGCACTCGGTTATGGAAACCTCCATCCAGCGCTCGGTAATGGAACCTACCGTCCAGCGCTCGGTAATGGAACCTATCGTCCAGCGCTCGGTAATGGAACCTACCATCCAGCGTTTGGTAATGGAACCTACCATCCAGCACTCGGTAATGGAACCTACCATCCAGCGCTCGGTAATGGAACCTACCGTCCAGCGCTCGGTAATGGGAACCTACCATCCAGCGCTCGGGTTATAATGGAAACCTACCATCCAGCACTCGTAAATGGAACCTACCATCCAGCGCTCGATAATGGAACCTACCGTCCAGCGCTCGGTAATGGAACCTACTGTCCAGCGCTCGGTAATGGAACCTACCATTCAGCGCTCGGTAATGGAACCTACCGTCCAGCGCTCGGTAATGGAACCTCTTGTTCCAGCGCTCTGTTAATGAACCTACCATCCAGCGCTCGGTAATGGAACCTACTGTCCAGCGCTCGGTAATGGAACCTAACGTCCAGCGCTCGTAATGGAACCTACCATCCGGAGATCGGTAATTAATGGAACCTTACCGTTTCCAGCGCTCGGTAAATGGATCCTGGACCAGGGGCATTATTATTATTATTATTATTATTATTATTATTATTATTATTATTATTATTATTATTATTATTATTATTATTATTATTATAATCAAGGGAGAAGCGCTAAACCCGTAGGATTATACAGCGCCTGGGGGGGATGTGGAATGCATTCAGGCTTAATTCGGGGAACTGGAGCACAGATCCAATTCCCTAAATCAAGAGCCCCTCACCAACATCAAGGAACCTTCCCTGAGGGCGGTGACCAGGAGCAGCAACTTGACTCCGTACTATTATAATTATAATTATATTTATAATAATAATAATAATAATAATAATAATAATAATAATAATAATTAAATTTATTTGGACATGAACCTGAATACCTTCCATCCTCACCCCTCACAAGCAATGTATAATCCCTACGGGTTTATCGTTCCCCATGATTATAATTATAATTATCACTGTAAATAAAGCTAATATTTGCATTAATAACTCAATGCACTTGTGACCAGGTGTGGACGTGTGAATGGTTCATTACCTTTGTAAGCTGTAAAGGTGTCAAAACACTGGAGCCCTGTCCCTGGACCCATTGTGTGGAAAATATTTTAATTTTCCGAAGCTATAGTGCCTAATAGGTGTTTAATGTGTTGATGTGGGTCAAAAAATGTATTTGAAAATGGACTAGAACCAAAAGGGAAGCTCTGCACCTGTGCTGATGGGCAGGGCAGAGGTCGAGACGGGGCATCAGGGAGCGGGAGTGTTTTGAATGGAGTTAGGAGGCTGGGAAAGCATGGAACCAGGAAATTGGCGTTCACGACGGCCTAAGGATTAATATAGGCCTCATTTCATAATAGGAAGTGTCGTAACTGTTCCTGGTGAAGAGTGAGGGAATGTGATTTACGGGACCGCTGTAATAAGTGGCAAATGATGAATAATGGTAGATTGCCATGGAATTGTTCATGGTGTAACCTCTAATGTGCCACAGTAGCTATTGGACAAATTTTTCTAGGCTGTTACCTGTATGTACCTCAACAATATTTACATACCAGTATTCATTGGGAGACAATCATATTGTTTACGTAGTCCACCCCGTGTAGACATGTGAGAAACTTACACCCCTGGTCGCACCAAGTGGTCCCCTGACCTCACAATTCTTATCCATATTTATCCGAGACCAGTATGGATTGGGTAGCACCCACAAGTACGGTGCTACTAATTAATTGTGCGACTGTATAGATTATATTAGTTTAGCTAATGAAGGCGAGAGGGGAAGTAGGATTACAACTGATAATCCATCAAGGAAAACATTTGTACATAATCCACCACTTACCAGTATGTTCTCTGGTGATCACTTGAGGTAGCAGGATCACTCGTAACCTATCTTAATTATAACATACCACCATGGCCAGTCCTAAGGTGCTTAAACTAGAAGGGGTTACCTTAACTGTGGGTGATTGGATATTCCTCATTTTTGATTTCACCGTCTCATTTACGATGTCCTGCTACACCGACACGATTCTCATTCCAGCAGGACGAGGGTATCGTGGTTTGTCCTGCTTTTTAGACGTCGTGACTCAATGGAGATTCCCTTCCTCGTCTCGTTAAAACGAGCAGGTCTAGCGTGTTCACTCGGAAGCAACAAGACAAGACTTATTTTCACTTCAACATATTCTCTTACTCAATGTTATTTAATCACTGATTAAAATTACCATTTACAAGACGATTTAACGTCTCATAACTATTACACAAATTAGAAGGGTCACTCATTGAGATCTGAGCCGATGAGCGAGGATATTAAACACAGGGGTTGTCCCCTGGACACTCACCCTGGCCGTGCACCTGCCACCGCTCCTACTCTTAAACCATTTTACCCACTCTATTACCGTGTTCGTAAAATCACATTCCTTCACTCTCCACCAGGAACTGTTACGACACTTCCTATTATGAAATGAGGCTATATTAATCCTTAGGCCGCGGTGAGAGAATGACAATTTCGTGGTACCATGCCTTTTGCCGCTTCCTCTCCACCTTCAAAACAAACCGCTATGGAAAATTTTTCTAGGGTGTTTACCTGTATGTACTCAAACATTATATACATACCAGTAATCTCATTGGGAGACGATCCAATATTGTTTACCGTTGTCACCCGTTAGACATTGTGTGAAAACTTAACCACCACTGTCGGCACCAAGTGGTCCCCTCGACCTCACAATCTTATCCATATCTATCGAGACCGGTATGGATTGGGTAGCACCACAAGTACGGTGCTACTAATTAATTGTGGATGTATAGATTATATTAGTTTAACGAATGAAGGGGGGGGGGGGTAGGACACACCTGGATACATCGTCAAAGGAAAAACATTTGTACATAATCCCACTACTTACCAGATTGTTTCTGGTGGTCACTTGATGTGCTGGATCACTCGTAACTATCTAATTATATCATACCACTACTGGCCCAGTCTAAGTTGATATAACTAGAAGGGTTACTTAACTGTGGGTGTTGATATTCCTCATTTCTTGATTATCCATCTTCATTTTCGATGTCCTGCTACACCGACCGATTCTCATTCCAGCAGGGACGGGTATCGCTGGTTTGTCTGCTTAGACGTCGGTGACTCAAGGAGTTTCCCTTTCCTCGTCTCGGTAACAACGAGGTCTAAGTGTTACTCGGAGCAAACGACTTATTTCACTTCAATATTCCTCTTAACATAGCGTTATTATCATTAATTACTTTACAATTCACAAGCGATTGAACGTTCTCATAACTATTATACAAACTAGAGGTACTCCATTAAGATCTGAGACCGATGAATTGAGTGCTGATTATCCAAGGGTAATTTTCCCCAGGACACAGGGTCCATTGTGACGCGTCAGTCACCCGTCGTTATCACATTTTTACCATCTATTACTGTGGTCGTAAATCCCGTTCCCTCACTCTTCCACCAGACAATTACGACACTTTTATTATTGAGATGAGGCCTATATTAATCCTTAGGCACCAGTGAACGTTCCAATTTCGTGGTTCCATGTTTTCTCAGCTTCCTCACCACCATTCAAAACCATTACGCGCCTACCCCTCCCGACATCGGCATGGCAAAGGGAAACTCTTGGTTTCTACTCTTATTTTCAAATACATTTTGTCCCATATAGGACACATTAAACACCTTTTAGGCACTATAGTTTCCGGAAAATTAAAAAATTTTCCACCACTGCGGCGGGCGGTAGGTCGTTGCTAGACGACTTACATAAGTGGAGTACAATTTTTTCCATCTTCACTGGCCCCCATATTTTTTGAACTACTCAAAAATGGACTAATGGTGTTCCATTCTCTAGTGGCATAAGCCTATGCTTCCCTGGATTAGTTATTGGCATACTGGAATTTGAGACTTTACCAATAACAAGTCT